AACGAATTCGGGAACTTTGGACATTTTTTGGCAACGCACAATTTCTGCACTAGAGTCTTATAAAGCTCATTCCTCTATAACCAGGCAAGAAGTCAACTTGCGCTCTTCAGCAACGTTTAAACGAAGCTTGACTGTGATTGTAGGCTCAATTTGAGGAAAAACCATCATCTGTAGTTGCTATAAAAGCATATTAAAAATTGAATCAAATAGATACAACTGGTGAAACCAGCAAAACGCTGCTAAATATTCACGCGTTTGCTTTATTGCCAAATTGGTTTTTGTCAAGAGCTCCAATTCATTGAGTCACTTTGACCTGTCGATAACAATTTTCTTGCACTAAGCTCTCCACCTAAAACGTCCGAAATCGCTTGACGCCGCTCTACACAGCATTTTGCCCATAATCTCACACCAAATTTCCTTTATACCCTCTCGGCTTTCGAAGAACAACTTGACAAGCAGGACGTTAAACCCTCTCGATCTCGTGCTTTTAAGACGCTTTACTTTCAACCGCCTTCGGACATAACGGGTTGGTTGGATCCTTTCAGGACGCATTTTTTTCGTCTTTCGTCGCCGTTAATGTCGTGTTTCACTTACATCTACTCGGTTGGATTTTAAGATAATCGTTCTGGAAAGTAATGATGTGCTTTTATCAGTCAATTTGGCGCCTTATTATGAACTAAACCATCTAATGAATGAACTGAAAATATTAACACGGCCTGGCATAGTCGACCGGTAGACCGTGATAAATGAAGAGCAGCCAGCGAACATCAATCCGGTGAAAAATATATGGATTATATTTAGCTTTTGTACGCCTTGTCGCATTGTTTTTCGACCGAAAACGATTTTTCACTTATGACACCGACACGAAAACCCAATTTAGCTAATTAATTCCCGGTGCAATTTCAAACATCTCAACACCGTTCTTCGACTTTAATTTATTATTGATATTTGTTTTACACCGCTGACTAAATTAATGTGGGACGGGGGCATTTTTAAATTCACTTGATTTCTCAATTTCACCGACACTCGGAGAATAATAGGCGATATTTCGGGTTTTCGCACAATTTTCAAGAATTCAATCCGCCACTGGCCACTGTCTAATACATTAGAATCCCTCCAGGGAATTAAGGGGAAAGAACTAAGGAAAAATGATAGAACAATATCAATTTCCCTTCGCCGGAATTTAAGGGTTACTATTACATATCGGGGGCTGAAATTTATGGGGTCTTGCTGATTCCAAAACGAAACACGCAGCACGTTTATGTGAAAGGTCAATTCGAAGCTGAAACAATCATCGTCCGGGTTCAACAGTGTTTCCTATTGTAGTTTTCACTTTGCTGGATTTCAACGCTTGATATTCTGCTTTTTGCACCCTCTTCATTCAATTGCTATTTGAAATCTATGAACTAGTCGATTACGGTTCAAACTCTGTGCCGGTTTCTCGACAAAAATGTTGAGCCTTTTTACCTGTTAGTTTTCAGATAAAAAATCCGATCAGATGGTGTTTGGACATCAATACGGCTTTTGGTGGTAAACTTGCAAAAACACTACTTTTCAGGTAAACACATGGTCATTTTGATTGGTTAACAGTTTCAGTATCAGCATCAATTTTCCGGGGATAATCACGTTCTGAAATTTTCCGAAAGATCGTCCAGAATAGGGTGTTTTCACTTTTTTTTAATGTTGATATATAGAAAGTAGTTATGGCAAACATTACACTGATATAATTTTTTTTTCCAAAAAAGACTACATAATAATTTTAAAGCGAAGTTAAATTCAAATCAGATATTTTCCGCCAAAAACGCCGAATCCGTATCGTCGGTTGCCTATCCCGATTGTGACGTAGCAGGTCATATCAACAAAGTGTCTCGTGTTTATTTTGTTGTTTTCGCAGATTTGTTTTATTCTTTAAGTTATTGTGATTATCATTATTTGATTGATTATTATTATTATCTTGCATAATGGAAAATAGACGTGTTTTGTGCCAAGATGCAAGAACACCTCTAAAGTGCTCCACACAAACTCTTTCTAACCGTTCCCCATGATTATGCAGGTAAAGTTTTATGGTACAAAGCAGCTAGACGTGATGTTCCTAAATCAAAATCAATGTTTTTTTGCTGCGAAGATCATTTTAATGAAAGTACGAATAAAAAGCTAATGATGAGGCAGTTAGAATGTGCTTTCCATCGTAGTTTATGTTCTGGGCAAATTCTGCCTTGTACAGTTGCTCAATTCCTCCTATCCGATATCACCATATTGTTCTCGTAATGCCCAAAATACAAATTTAAGGGTTCATTTTACTTTTAAAGCAGTCATGTGTATAAGTTAGGTTAAGTTGAATAAGTGAAATTATATGTATTATTTACCTAATTTAAACTAATACAGACAGATTCGTATATTAAGGCGAGAGTAGCTAATAATGAATTTACGGATTTTTACTTTTTAAATTCGGCTGAATTGAAGCGTTCCTCGTTTTTTTTTTAAATTCGGTAACCATAAAAATATGTACACATTGTAAATTGTTTGTTGACGCTTTAAGGAATCCTTCTGAAGCCATTTTTTAGTTTAACACAAACTATAAATGATTTAAATCCACAAAATAATTAATGAAACACAACCACACAACGAAACACTATGCACAGAACGTAAAAAATCCGCCATTTATATGACCAGAGACGTCACAACCAATAGGATTGTTGAATTTGTTTATTAAATATTTAACAAAATAGCAATAGATAGATAGTATAAACGTATTTAATCGTTCATATATATATATTACCATAGATTAATGTTCAGTTTGTATGAATTTTTGATACAATGAAAACACCCTATTTATATCTTCAGCCTCCTGTGCTCTGTCGCTTAAAATCTCCTAATTTCTGAACTGGAGCAAGTAGTGACTTGAAATTTTCACAGTCTATTGCCAGGATCTGGCTCCAGCTATGGAGCAATTTTTCTTGGGATTTTTGTTAAAATTGTCCAGCATCTGATTTTTTTCCAGGCTCTTACATGTAACAGGCCCGATGTTCCCATCCATCTGCGCTCTTTTCTTTAAAAGATCGCTATTTCTAAATCAAAGCCGGTAGCGACTTGAAATTGTCTGGGTGCTCTGCAAAGATTTGTCTCTAGCATTCGAAAATTTTGCTTAAAATCGCCGAGAAACTACATATTTTGCCTAATTAGTAATTCTTGCTAGCGAGACCTTTGCTAGAAACTTAATTTGCCCGTTATTAAAAAAAAGTCTTCAAACTAGTCAGAATCTGCTTGAAATTTATACAGTACCTTGACAAAACCTGAATATCTAGAATGGTGGACAGAATCAGCAACTTTCCTCACAGGGTTCTAATCAATCACCATAAAAAAAACTGTAATGGTCTTTTGCCTGCCTTTGCACGCAACTCCTCACTAACGAAACGGATAGTTTCGATTATTATCACGCAGTTATCCCCAAAATAAACAATTTCGCCAGGTCGAAAGGAACCATTCCTTTTTAAATTTATTACAAACTGTTGTAAAAGCTGCGACCAATGAAACGTGTTGTAGCTATCAAGTGTTAGGGCGTGTTGACACAAGAAAGTGATAACCATTCCTGTTGGTTCTAGTTATGGTTTTTCTGTCGCCCTTCTCGAGTATCTTAAGGCGCCAAAGATAAACTATCTTAGGCTGTGTCTATTGACCTTTCGATTGGCGGTCTTGATTAACAAGTACCCGCTAATTTGGCCCCACTAGAATTTTATGATCTTGGAACTGTTTTCGACGGTGGGTGCTAAATACATAAGCCAAACAGCGTTCAGTTTTACGGCTTTTTTGGATTCCGGATGGTTTGAATCGTTCAGCTTTTTGCCGCTTTCAATGGTTTAGTTTCAAAAGTTTTAAAAGCCTAAAAATGTGTAAGTTGATTGGGAAGACGCAAACAATTTGATGACTTCTTTGCTTTACTTTTGGAAATGAATCTCTGACTGTTTTTCTGTCTGAAATTTATCCAACTCCAAACCACAAATGTTTATTTTTTTACAAACTTCTTTTTGGGTATTTCGCCTAAAAAATTTTTGACAGAATTTCCTCACGTCTTTTATTACAGATTGATTAATAGTGCTCCTATTTCGCAATAAGAACGAATTATTTATCAAAAAGTAATCAAGAACTATCACCTAGAGGGTATCCTGCGACACACTTAGGCTCAAGCTGTAAGAGAAAATTCCAATTAGTAGAGAAATTTATTTGAAAAATTACCTTGACGTTTCGATAGCTATTTTCTGCTATCGTTACCAAAAGAACCTAAATGAACCTAAAAAAGAGTATGTTAATAAATTGTGTAACAATAGTAGGATAATACAGTATATGAAAATTCGCTCTGATAATTCGTCTGTGCAAATTGTCAGTTATGTGACTTTGATTTAATCTCATTGTTTAAATTCATAAAGGTAATGTTAATTAATAATTTTGGTGTAAATTTAATTTGGGTGTATGTTTCTCTGGTCTACTTCAGATTTTAGCATAGGTAACCATGTAT